GGAGGAGGGAGGGGAGGAGAAGGGGGAGAGGGAACGGGGGAAGGGGAGGAGGAGGGAGAAGAGGAGGAGGAAGGGGAGAAGGAGGGGGCGGTGACCACTCTTGAAATGTCAAGGAAGCTGGAAAGACTCTCCCTTGGCAAGATTCAATCACTGCTCCATCCTTCTTGATGATATCCTAGGGTTCGGCCAGCACTGACTTCTTAAACAGCATGATAATCACCACCACCAATATATTAAATATCTATTCTGCACATGACATCACACCAACTTTCTTCCATGTTTCTGTATCTAAAACAAAAGAGGCTGCTGTCATAAAGACTGTTGGAAGAAAACATTCATTCAATGGGAACGAGATGGGATCACGAAGACGGCAGGACGCAAGAGCATCTGTAACGAAGCATTTTTAAACAAGCAATCTTCTTAAAGCATCCATCAGAGAAACAGCACCAGGAAAGGTTTAAACCACACTTTCCTGCTCCTCAGGTGCTAAGATAAAGGAGTCCCTAGCTTCCAGATGGAACTAAGATATGAGACAATCTTCTGGTTTATAAAGGGGTGTGTGTGTGTTTTAAATAATGCTTGATTGTTCCTAGAGGCAGAACACGGCATGTTTTTAGAATGCATTCGTTTGGAGGGGTACCAGTATGACTGGAATCCCACCTCAGGGGAGGTTACTTTAAAGACCAAGGACTTTTGAGTCAGACAGGACTAGGCTCATTCCCGATTAGCTAAGTGACATAGATAAGTCACTTAACCTGTCCAAGTCTCAGCTTCTTTGCCTGTGAGACTTCCAAAATTGAGACGCCTGACTCCATCTCAGCTTTTATTTCCCTGCAACCATCAAGCCCTCAGATGGAATTAAGTACATAACGAAGAAAATGTTCTTCTCTGTGGTTAAACTAAAGACACGGAAAGAATGTTCCTTTGATTGATTTTTGTGACTTCCCTATCTGGGTTGGTATCTGGTTGCTCTGTCCTGTGTTCTAGTCTTGGGTTGTTTTCTGATGTTACTGATTTTCTAACTGGAGGACTCCCTTTAGTATTTTTTTTTTTTAACTTTTATTTTTTTAATTGTACTTCAGGTGAAGGTTTACAGAATAGTTTCTCATTAAACAGTAGTACACATATTGTTTTATGACACTGGTTAACAACCCCACGACATGTCAACCCTCTCCCTTCTCGACCTTTTTCTCCCTTTAGTATTTCTTGCAATTTCAGCTTGGTTTTTGCAAATTCCCTAAACTTCTGTTTATCT